GGAGCTTTTCCTTACTCTTTGAATATTATGGGTATCTATCGACAGGTGATTGGTATGTATGTGGGAGTAGCAACGGTGGGAGTATTCATCATATGGTACACACACAACAGCTTCATGGGCATATACTTGAGCCAAGACGGTCACAGCCTGGTGAGCTACTCACAGCTGGCTCACTGGGGCCAATGCTCTTCATGGGAAGGCTTCAAAGTCTCCTTTCACAGCAGGTAATCAGATTTTCTCATTCGACTCAAACCCGTGCGACTATTTCCAGCAGGGGAAAATCAAAGCATCCACACTCTCCCTCTCGGTGTTGGTGGCCATTGAAATGTTCAATTCCCTGAACGTACTCTCAGAAGACGGCAGCCTGGTGACAATGCCACCGTGGGTGAACCCGTGGTTGCTCCTGGCAATGGCGGTCTCATTTGGGCTCCACTTTGTGATACTGTACGTTCCATTCTTGGCACAGGTGTTTGGGATAGTGCCGCTGAGCTTGAACGAGTGGCTGCTTGTTTTGGCAGTGTCGCTTCCGGTGATTTTGATAGATGAAGTTCTCAAGTTTGAAGGAAGGTTCACCAGTGGCTACCGCTACTCACCTCGCATTCCCTCCGCTAAGCAAAAGGCGGAGTAAGAAGAAGACTAAACTAAAGCATTATTAGACTCTTTAGACCATCCACATTGGTCATATGGATCAAGGATGTCTTAAGTATAAAATATTATATAATAATCTATACTATATAAAAGTTGAAGTTATTACCGTTTGAAACCGTCCACATATAATTTAATTCAACTTATAGTAGTATGCCACGTTAAATATTTAGAATTATATTAATTTTGTTTTTATTGATAATAATTGAAAAATAAAACATGATTTCTTTATATCATTAGCTCATAATTCCAAGTAATTTTTAAATTTTTGTGGATTTAATTTCCCATTTCGACTTTACATTATGAAATTTCCTTAATTTAAATGTCTTAAATATTTTTAAAAACGTTATTATTTCAAATTTACGAAAAATTTAGGAAAAATATAGATATTTTGTTATAAAGGCAAAATTAATATAACATTCTAATCAATTATTATCCCAATAGAATATGATATTACATTTATTCTCAATTAACTACAAAAAAAATTAGGAAAAATTTTCAACGATCCACAAAAAATAATATAATTACAATAGATATTAGGAAATTTTACAAGAAACTAAAAAAGATAGAATGTAATAAAGATGAAGCTAGAAGGGCAACTGATATTGCAGAGAAGAACTTTATAGTGATATAGAATGATTACGTTGGAGCGAAAAAAATCGTTAACAAGACTAAGAATTAGTATCTTAAGCTTGATGGTTCAAACAATTATTGATAATGATCAATGTTTATATCTCTGCATCAAAGAACGAAAAAGGAGAAGCTAATTGGTATGGAGTTCTCGGTGTTGATCCTTTACCTGATGATAAAACAATGAAAAAATATAAAAATTTAACTCTTTTACTTCATTCGGACAAGAACAAGTGTAAAAGCGCAGAAAATGCGTTTAAGTTGGTTTTAGAGGTTGGTGCTGTTACGAGTCTGCGATCAGTCTGCTTCGAGGGAGGATTCCCATCGAATCAGAGAGAATCAGGAGACGATTGAGATGTCTTTGGAAAGCTCTTTCTGTCTAGTTTCTAGATCAGGTTTCTGATCCTGATTCGAAGTTCCAATTAGCGAGATTGCGGGCTGATTTCCCGTCAAACCGTTTGGATTTAGGAGACGTTCTATACACCGTTGGAAAGCTCTCGGTGTCTAGTTTCCAGATTAGGTCTCAAACCTTGATTTGGTGAAGGGAGTCGTGAGTTATTTCCTTCTATTTCGTGGCGTGTGTTCTTTGGTGTCTCGTTTCAATCCGATCTCAAGGTGAGTGCGTGACCATAGGTTCTCGGATGTAGGAATGGATGGAATACYTTGATTTCTGTGTGTTTTGGTGTGGATTTGCTGTTGATTTGTGCTGGAAAGCGATCTGTAGGCCTGAGATTCGTTCCATGAGAGGATAGGTTCGATCTTAGGGTTCTGCAGGTCCGTGTCGATCGACAGGACCGTTGTCTGTCGATCGACAGAG